ATGTGTCAAAAGGGACTCGTACTTCACGATGGAGGGCCTGCTGGTGTCGGGCATGACCGAGACGGCGAAGGGGATGCTGGAGAACTTCTTCCACCTCGTGGATGAACTCGGGTTCGTCCCCAACGGGGGGAGGGTGTATTACAAGAAGCGCTCCCAGCCGCCCTTCCTCTGCCTCATGGCCAAGAAGTACTACGATCACACAGGGGACTTTGACTTTATCAAGTGAGGCAGAATCACCATTTCGAACTTCAATTCTTTCATGCTTTGCGAATAGCACCCATTTGCATTATTCTCGTCGTTTACGAAACCCTTGAAGTTTGATATTAGAAGGCTCACCTACGTTTTATGTTGATCTATCCCTTCGACTCAAAAAATATTTCACGGAGCAACATCATTGTTCATTTCTTCAAAAGCAACTTGACATCGATTCTCAAAGATGACACAATCCAGGCAGGTCTGATCACCTGCAGTCATGCATTTTTCCCACCACTCAGGCGGAACCTGGACCTCCTGGATCGGGAGTTCAAATTCTGGGAAGAAAATAGGCTGGTGGAGGTGAAGAAGGACACGAACACGCACTACGTGTACCGCTACATAGTGAACGTGACGGGGCCCCGACCGGAGTCCTACAAGGAGGACGTAGCGACCGTGGGCGGCCTTAGCAAAACCGACCAGGATAATCTCCACGTCAGCATCAAGAGTGCCTGCGAGTCTGGCATGGACTTCTCTACGCGATGGATGAGAGATCCTGAAAAGGGTAATTTCCCCCCTCATCCTCAAGTTGCTGCTTTTTTTTTGCGCAAGGTCGCTTGTTATGATCGGCGAAAGTGGCGAGTCAAAATACGTTAGACCGAAGTCAAGTGACTCCAAGGACCAAGGACTTAGCTTGTCGGTGTTTGGTGCTAGGGGTTTTCACTGGCCACGATAATCAAAATGTCCCTATTCTTGGTTTGAGAGCGCCACAAATCAACTGGTGAGGTTAATCGATAGGGCACAGAACTTGGAGGCTCTTATTGATGAGGGTTTTTTTTTCGAACTAGCTGATGAGCATCAAAATCATTTGATGCGCATCATCCGTTTGCGCCGCGTTTCATCGAAGATCTTGGTGGAATAATGTGCAAACCGATACATTGAGGATTGACCCTTGGACAGGTTAGAGAAGTGGCTCTCCCAGCCACTTTCAATGAAGCTACAATTTCGATGAGATGGAAAGATGGGTTCGAGAGTTCTTCCATTGCAAATCTATATTAACGGGCCATCAGTGCGTACTTCTATCGACTGAGATGGATTTTCTGGGCACTCGCAGAGGCGAATTAACCCTTTGTTGCTTCGCGTTCACGTTTGTCGACACGTCTTCTGACGTTTCGGACATAATATTGATACCGGCATAGCATGTCACCGGTAACTTTATTTTGAAAGCTGCTATGTCTACGAACATGGACGTCATGTTCCAGTCGAAGTTGTTTCGCATGAAAACCGTAGGCAATTGCTTTTTTTTTTCAATGTCAGCGCGAGAGTGCATTCACGTAGACATTACGCGACAGCGTCGACTTAACCAGTTCTTCCATGGGGAAAACTCAATTTTGGAAAGACGAGATTTCGCACACTCTTCCACCAAGGTCTGTAACTAGCCATTGGTTAACCTGAATATAATTTTTTGCCGATTCTCAAATATAGCTGTAGAACAAGTTAAAACCAAGAAAACAAGAAATGATTGCATGATAAATTTTTCTTGATCCGTTGGGCTGGTTTGGACCACTAACCAACGTTTTTTCTTAATAACCAACCGATGTTTCGCACGACAATTCCCAAGCGTACAGCGAAAAGTACCTGAATAAAACGGGGGGACTGGAAATTTACACAGGAGACTTGAAAACCCTGATGACGCAATCGATCGTGCCCGTGGACTTGAACGCCCTCATGTGCCGGAACGCCTTGATCCTGGAGGAGTTCTACCTCGGCGTCAGTAACTCGACTGCGGCGGGGTGGTACCAAACGAGGAGCCAAAGCCTCAAAAAGGCCATCCAGGATCTATTCTGGGACGAAACCGACATGACGTGGTACGACTTCGATCTCGATAGTAAGGTGAGTTGGACTCTTGTTCATTTTGTCCGTCTGCAACCGCAAAAATCTCGACCCATTTCCCCCCCCCCCCCTCGTGTGCACGTCGTGCATCCCGTGACGCGATGGGATCAAGTTGAACGATATCTGAGGATGCATGTAGCTTGAGATCGCTCGAATTTAGAGTGATCGTTCGTTTCCTTGAGAAAATCCCATTCGGCACAACAACGTTAAGGTTGAAAATTTGAGACTTGATTGAAGAATTCAGTGAAGAATCAGCAGCAACAATATGCTGGCTATTCGTAATAAGTCGCATTTTCAGCATAAACAAAGACTAGTCATGGATTAGCGAAGTCGTTTGGAGGCTATTACGCGCTAATTATGAACCGCAAATTGTCATATACCGAGAGGAAGTCAATCACAAATCCTGAGCACTCCTACGCATTCTAAAATGAGGCTACCTCACTAAATGTGAATTTTTTACATTTAGGGACGAATTACTGGCAAAAAATCGAAATTGTGTGGGCAGAAACATTTTCGGCCGGCACCCAGTCAAAAATGCTCGTTGATCTATCGTCGACCCATAGCTGGGGAGGTTGGCTCATATTCGGCGAATGATAGGGCCAAGTCACACTTGTGCTGTAATTTTCCCATTCACACTTATGCCATGTTGGCCCAACATGGAAGCCCTGAAGTTGAGCCACGCAAAATTCTCTGGCAAACCATTTCACGGTTACAAGAACATAGAAGATTGCCGAAACCGGAGCAAGACTGAACCTAAGTTGTCGTGACAGCATGTCACTCCCTGATTCTACTGAAATGAGTCTCCTGTACCTTTCACACAGTTACATATATCTAAGGGGAAGACGATAGAATTCCTCCTCACGCAATCAGGCAATTCCGGGCCGCAGGTTGGAGTGGATTGTTGGAGTGGAGAGTTGCAGGTTGGATGGTTCTACAGTTGTACTAGTCTAGCCACATTAGTACTAGTACGACTACCGACGCCGTGGGCACATTTTTTCTTCGTTATGATTCTTCAGTTAATGGAAAACGTTTTGATCAGA